TTTAGTTCTTGGCGGACGCAACATCTTTGTTGGTATGTGGTGCTGAGGATCGAACCCGGGCCGCACGCATGCCAGGCGAGCGGGCTACCGCTTGAGCCACATCCCCAGCCCCCCATAGTTCCTCTTCTTGAATGCCTTACTTTAGCAAAATGAGAAGCCAGTCACCCTGTGTCATTCTTGCCAGTTTATTTTTTTGGGGGGGGGGAATTTTACTCATCTTTAAAGTTTTAAAGCCTGGGTCCCCTCACTCAGTCTCTGTGCATTGGCAGGTCAGGGAAGGCTTGGCTGCTGGTGCCTTATTTATGAGCTGTGTGCCATTTCCCCAGGCAGAGGACGATGCAAGGCCTCGAAGGATTATGAGCGGAAAGAAAAGGACGAACTGAGCTTCTGCCAGGGAGAAAGCATTGAGATTGTGGGCTTCGTCATCCCGGGGCTTCAGTGGTTCATTGGGAAGTCAATGAGCTCAGGAGAAGTGGGCTTTGTCCCCACCAAGAGCATAGATCCCGATTCCTGCTCTCCAATGTGAGTATGCCATGAGGTGTCATCATCTTTGAGTTGAGACTCAGTGTTCATAGGATAACAGAGGCAGGCCTTGGAGTTAATGGATTATATTTGGACTTAGGCATCTTGCATCTTGCCCTACATGGCAACAACTTTTAGTACCATTAAATTAATTTAGTCATCACATTTTAGCTGGCTTGGTTGTAAGGGCCACACTCTCACACAGCCCCTGTATCACACAAGGAGGCTGCACCACTTTCTTCTTATCCACAGTGCCATCTGTTGGTCCTCGCTGTCACCTGTGGGACCTCATGAACCACAGATTGCCCAATTTGGTAGGGAAGGGGAAAGAGAGGATGGAGATGGGGAAAATCAAGGGGAACCGGGAACTAGTGTACCCCCAGACCCTCTCTGGATTGCAGATCTTCTTGAACCACCGAGGAGGGTGAATTTTGAGCTCAAATGAATGGTAGCCCAGCAAGAGGCCTCAAGTAGTGGACAGTGAGCTGAGGTCGCCTGGGTATGGCCCCTGTGTGCTGTGCCAATGGCTGCCACTGGGTGTCACTCTGAGCCTGTGATCTTTTGGTAGGGGATTTCTGAGGATGGTCTCAGCATTAGCTGAAGATCTCTTCTACAGGGGTTCCCTCCCTATTCTTCCATGAGGTGTGTGTACGCACACAAACATACCAAATTGGTCCTGTATTGAGAGAGGAATTCCTCCACAGGCTGTCTCCTGGGTCAGATTTAGCCTATGCCTCTGACCCATAGGGAAGGGCCCCTGCTTGTCCTGGAAAGTAAAACTGGATTTCCTTTTTCTCACAGCACAGCGTTTAACCCCAGTTCTCCAGTTTCTCAGCAGCAGCCGATGGAAAGCCAGTTCTTAAAACTTGCAGCCAGCATTTTGCCCAAATAGATACAGTATTTGGGTTTGGCCAGAGTGGCATTGGGGAACTTGGAGCTTCCGAGTGTGATAGAAAGTCATATCCTTCCTTTATTAATGTTGAAAAAGATCTGAGATGTGTTTGTGCATGTTTTACAAGGCAAAAGACTTGGGGGATCTTTTTACCCCATCTGACTTTTAATCTTCTGATTCCTGCTCCAGAGGCAAATGCTGCTTGAAGTTGCTTTGTTATCTTTTCAGTCTTTTTTTTCTGATACTCTAAAAAATTATTAATTGTTTATAAGAAAAAAAATTGATATAACCTACTTAAAAATCTTATATAATTTGTTTTCTGCAACTGGCATTTTTTCGGTTAACATTGTAAACTGAGGATTTATTCACATTGGGATAAGTATAATTCATTTGAACAGTGTTACTTAAAGAAAATGTATACAGTTGCATGTCTAAACTAAAAACAAACAAACAAACAAACAAGATTGGTACATTAGTGCACTCAAGATAAGAAAAAAACATAAAGAAAAGATAGTATTACAAATTTTAAAAATTCTATCTTTTATTATATTCTCATTTTAGTCTTCATATTATCTTTGTCTTTTTTATATTTTCCATTTCTTGTGGTAGATATTTTTGCTGTTGAGAATTTTGTTGTTAGTTTCATAGCTGTTTCTATGTAAGTAAGCAGTATTTTTTCTAAGTTTCTAATTTTTTTCTTTGTCGTTGATGAAACCATACAATTATACCATATGATATATTCCATAATAAATTTAAAGTAGATTATTTACTTTATTCTTCAAAAAGTACCTCTATTAGTAGTTATTTCAGAGAAGATGTGTGAATTGTAAATACTCCTAGTAATTTGTTCTTCTTTGTCTTACATATACTGAAAAATATACTCTTGGATGATAATTTAACTAGATACAGAATAGCATCTTCAAAGTGTGAGGGAAAGTAACTATTAATATAAATTTCTAAGTCCATTTTCAGCATTTTATTTTATTAGTTTTTTAGAGAGCCATTTTTTTCCTTTGGTCAACCATGTTTTTAAAATTACATTAACATTTTAAAATTACATTAACATCCACAATGTCATTTGTCAGTTTCCTTGAACTCTCTCCAAGTATCTCTCTCCAACATTTACATTGATTATTTTCTTATTCATTTTGTTTCTATTTCATTAGTCTATGTTCTTATTGTTTAGATTTAATTCTTTCATCCCATGAAATTGAACAGTGAAGTAATAGATAATTGAACCCAGAAGGAAAAATTAGGAGAAACGGAAAATTTGAAAAGACCTATAAACATGAAGAAATGGACCTCCTGTTAAAAATGATACTATTTTTATTTATTTTGCTCAGGATTTGGTGTGCTTCTTCAATCAGAAGACTCATGTCTTTCTTCAATTCTGGAAAATTCTCAATCATTCTCCCTTTGAATACTGCCTCTCTCTCATTCTTTAATCTCTCTTGTGGAATTCCTCTCAGAGGTATGTTGGACCCATTCTATCCTCAATCTTACTTAATCAGTTCTTTTGTAATAGTTCACCATTTTTTACTTTAGACCACATTCAGGATAATTTCCTCAAAATGATCTTCAGTTTCACTAATTGTTTCCTCAGCTGTAACTAAACTTGCTATTTAATCTCCTACCCCCAAATGGCACATTGTCTTTAATTTCCATGCCTTTGTTTTCTATTTGAATTTTCCTAGTGTTCACAGATGGTTGTTTCTCCTTTTGCAGTGTTTCATCTTTTCTTTGAAGTTTCTATTCATTCTATTTATTTCATTGTTTTAACCAGGCTTATAAATTATTCTTTGTATTAGTGCTATTTCTAGTTGTGCAGAATATATTTACCTGAGTATGCATCTTCTGAATCTCAATGTCTTTGTGGGTAGTTCATTTTCTTAATTTGTACTTTTGGATTTGTATTTTTTTGTTATGTGAAGTAATTTCCAACATTTAGAAGTGTTGCATGAATCATGGACTGAAGAAAATTTCCCTTGGAGTAAGTTTTACACTTGCTTCTCCTGGAATCCTAAGAACTCATGATCCAGGACTAATTTTTTTTACTGTTGTTCTTTGTGGCACCTTCACTGTACAGTGTAAATTCAGATTCCACACCTTCAATGGTGTAGGCCTAGTTGTTTGATTTTTTTTTTTCCTAGGGACTCAGGTAGATGAAAAGTGTGCTTTTGACAGGCAGGGCAAAGTTTTCCACTCATCTTTTTGAGGAAGTTGTTACCCTTTCGAAGTCCAGACTTTATGAATAGAGCTTAATTCAGCTCCCTGCTTGACACAGATTCAAAGTCACATCTCCTGATCCTGGGGATCATTGCAAGGTGAGCCTCACTTTTGAGGGCCAGTATCTGAGTTGAAACCATTAGGGTCTCTGGGCCAACTGCTTTAACTTACCAACCTGAGTTTGGTTTCTGCTTTATTTTCTGGATCCCAGGGATTTCCCTTTCTTTAGAGTTAAAGTATGGCTCACAGTAGTTATCTCTGCTGTACATTATCCAGGATTTGTGTGTCCAGAGAGAAGAGCCCTTTAGAATACTTTAGGCTATCATATTGCCAGAAGCTTTGCCATATTCTTCTAACCAAGCTTTCATTTTGGAAATCCACAACGTCATTTGTCAGTTTCCTTGAACTCTCTCCAAGTACCTGAAAGTCAGAACGCTAGCAGTTCAAGTCTGAGGCAGTGGACCTCAGAGGTACAAGACCTAAGATTCAGTCTCAGCTTCATCACTTTGTGGATGTGTAATTCTGAACATGGACTCTTTCATAACCATTTTCTTCATCTCTGAACATGGATTTAAACACCTACATCATAGAGTTATTAGGAACAGTAAATGAGATGAGCAGCTCTTTGGGGAGAATCTGGAGATCAGGCCAGAGAAATGGGGGCTCAGTGGACATGGTGAGATAAACCCTAAGCCAGAATCAGGACATGGTTCTAGTACCAGTTCTGCCATTATTTACTGCGGTAGCCCTGTGCTCTTCATGTAGTTGCAAGTTTCTTCTTTGGATTTTAAGCTGCCTTACGAGAGCTATGGAGACAAAGGGTGAGTGGCTGGCCACAGCACACCCTCCCTGAATTTTATTATTCCCTGATCTACCACGTCCAAAACACACATTTCAGTTTTCGGTGCCTCCATTTCTTCCTCTGCAAAAAAGGTGTAAATTGTACCTGCCTTGAGCTCATAGGACAAGAGACCAGACAGGAGAAAGAGGCACAGAAGGACAATTCTGGAGATTTTCGAGGAACCCCTACCTCTTCTGTAGAGGAGGCTCAGTGTATGCATGAGGGAAAACTCCTTGGGTTTGGTGAATTAACCACCTTAAAGATAGTGCTTGATGCTGACTCAGTGCCAGGAGCAGGGCCTGTTCCTACCAGCCACCCTGGAGCTCCTTATAATTCCCCAGGGTAGTCGATAGAGCACTTAGAAGTGTCTTACTTCCATAGTGGCCTTGAATTAATCCTAGTTGAAATAAGTAGACATTGATTCCTTTTGATAACATTTTCTTGTTGTAGATGAAAATATTTCTTCATTAAAAATATTAATGCACACACACAAAATTGTACATGCCTCATAGGGCAATTATGGGGATTAAATGAGGTAATAGTGTATGATTCATCATAACCCGCCAAAAGTATTAGCCATTATTAACTCTTGGATTTCTCAGGTAATTGTTTAGGCATAAGAAAGACAATGGAATGAATCTGATCTAACTTTCCTATGAATATATGTGAATACGCCACAGTGAATGTCAACATTGTGTACATCCACAAGACTGGGATCCATATCTTATATCCATAAGATATACTCTATTTTTTGTATAAATGTAGAAACAGACTCTGTTGTCATGTATAACTAAAAAGAACAAATAAAACTTAAAAAAAATTGGCCCTGAGGTTCAAAAACAATTGAAAGTGATCTTAAAACATTTTCAGCTAGGTAGTGGATTGAATGCTTCCTAAGGCATTTCTAGTTGCAAATTCTTAACTAATTCCATGTAAATTTTTAACAACTCCATAACACATCTCTAGTAAGCAAACTCGTCTTAACAATCAGGTTACATAGCAGGATGAGTATAAAGATTCTATGTTTATGATCATTTCTTCCAGGCCCCTGACTCCCTTACCCATGCTTTTTCTCCCTTCATATTACATAATGCTGTTCTATGTCATGTAATCAAGTCTCAGCAACTGTGACAGATTCCTTCCCACCACGGTGAAACTCTCTTCATTGTTCCTCTAGATTGTATTACTTGTCCCTAACTTTTTCCTCAAATAGCCTAAGGGCAAAGAAACTTCTTTTAATGGTTCCTTTCCAATCTTTATACAACAACCAGATCCTATTTATCCCATAAAAACTGGGCATGATGTGGCCTCAAAGAGTGGATTGTGGTTGAGAGAGAGGGATTTTTTTTTTCTTTTTTCTTGCGGGGGAGGAATGGAGTTTTAGGAAGAAGGGTGTTTGCATTTCCACTTTCACCTACTTTGATAACCACACAGCTCAGTTCTCTGTGCACGAGGTGCTAATAGTTCTTTTTCTTTGGCAGGAAAAATATAATTTGCAACAGTAAGATGAAGAGTCTGATTTCAGCCATGAGCAATGGGTTGATTGCTTCTCTAAGTTCTTTACTGCATCCTAAGGACAAAGAGAAGGAGGTGGAGCCTGGAACCTGGCACTGACCTCTCTCTGTCTTGTGCCCCATGCAGGAGCAAGAACTCTGTGTTTTTCAGTGATGAGGAAAGGTGCTCTCTGTGGGCCCTGGGAAACGACAAGAAAGCGGAGTGTGCCAGCTTCCTCCACGCACTGGCTCAGACTGACATCACATCTGTCTACAGGCTTAGTGAGTGTTTGGTCTTTAACCTCCTCAACTAGGAGGGTATCCCTACTCAGGAATAGACTATCTCTAAATTCTAATCCCATCCAGGAATTTGGGGCCATAGTCACTATTCAGTTGATGACTGGATCATATTTGATTAGCTGCATTTCAATTTAGATTTCAGATATTTCTGACATTGCACAGGACATATTGTCTAGAAACTATGAGATAAGATGAAATCCAGTTGCCTACACCATGAGTGTCAGCTGCATTGGGTCTTCTATCCCAACCTCAGAAAAGAACTTCCTGAACTCTGGCTGAAGTCCCTCTTTTGAGAGATGAAATAAAAACCTAATAAGAAAGATGGGGGTCATACGATGTCACAACTGGAAGGGCCCTAAGAGATGATTTCTCCCCTCATTTTCCATACTGGGAAACTGAGGTCCAAATGAATTAATGCCAGAGCCAAAATAAGAACTGCTGTCTTCTAACTACCCATCAGGACAGTCCCTTTCACCACACTGCCCCAGATAAAATGATATTGGGCTTTTGGATACATTCGCCTTGTGGGGTGAGGGGCCTCATTGTCTCACATATTTTCCTCTATTTCGGAAGGATTGGGTGAGCAAATGAATGGATGATACTGATTTCCTGTGTCAGGAAGCACATTCATTCTCCCATGATGGTTTGAAGAAGAATTCTTTTTTCTTCCACCTCTTCAGTGATGGTGATGTTGTGTCCACTTCTGTGTAGATGGGCCATATTTCATGGGTACATCCAGAGATACTGCATGAGGCACTGTCAGGCCAACTCCCAGGATATAGGAGGGGGGTGGAGACTTTATCCATGTATAGGAGGAACACCTACCCCAGATATCAGCTCCCAGCCCAGCTTTGCTTTTGAGCAGATCACACGGGTCCATAACTCTGAGGCAGCCAGTTGAAGCTGACACTGCCTAGTAGATGTGGGTGAAGACTGAAAACCAAGGAAAGCTCAGGGTGTGCCACCGGAGGGCAGAGGCGGGTGGCAGACTTGGGTCAGAGGTTATCTGCTACTCTTGATCCATTGGTTGTGAGACTCAAGGGTAGGCCCAGGCAGCATGTTGTCTTTTGTTAAAGGTCAGGGGTGCAGCTCTGCTGAGCTTAGGTTGTGCCCTAGAGTTATGCAGCTTCCCTGGCACCGAGGCAGTTGGCAGAGGGCTGTCTCAATGATAGAGTCCAGCTTTCTTGACCTGTGCCATGGGAAGGAGTGACCCTCTGATTCATCTTCCCATCTGGTAACTCATTTGTGCTCTTGATGTCCTGGCCCCAAGATAAATGACTGCAGTAAGACTGGCACACACCTCTCAGTGTCAGAGAGGCCAGGGCATGTGAGCAGTTTTCCAGAGCCAAGCTCCTCAGCTCTCCATCTTTAGCTGTGGGGGCTCCACTCTACAAGTTGCAGATTTTGAGTGTCTGCAGTGACCGTCTTAGAAGCAGGCTTCCCTGGATAGCAGAAGGAAGAAGGTTGACTCAATGAGGGGCCTGCAGGTCTTCCATGTTTTCTGGCAACCCAGAAGGGGCCCACAGACAGCTGTTGCTTTTCTGTCAGGAAGAGGTGGAATCTTCTCTTTAGAAACCCCCATCTGTGGCTTATGAATCTGGCCTTTACCTCCTCAGCTCCATGGTGGCTCTTCAGGCAAGAGTGTTAATTTATTCACTGCCGAGCTCAACCCGTCTTCTTGGTTCTTACCTCATCTTGTTGTACTTTTATGATGCTCGGTGCCTGCATCCCAAGACACCTTGGCCTCTGCGACTTTTCTCTTTGCCTTTTTGGTCTCTTTCGGCCAGAAATACTAGTGTTCTTCAGGCATATTAACTAATCTCCCTCTCCTGTTCTCCCTCCCTTCCTGCTCTACTCTCCTTCCAAATGCTTTGCCTGTGTGATCACATTCCATCTTGGGACACTGGCCAGCTCCTGGTGACCTGCTGTGGGCCACAAATCTGTATTTGCAGTCTCCGCTTTGCTCCTTAGCTCCAGACCTACTCTATTCTCTGCTGACAACTCCTGCAAGTAACTCAAAATTAAGATGGCTAAAGCTGCACTCAGGATTCTTCTTTCTTCCTCCTCATCCCACCTGTGTACTTCAGGGAACAAAACTGGGCACCTCAGAGGCATTTTGCTCTTTTTTCCTCACCCAGTCCCCCTGCATGTGCCACTTTTACCAAGTGCAGTGTCCAGTGCCTTGTGCACATTAACCCATGCTTGTCAAGTGGATGGGTGACGAGTGAATGGAGCATGTGATTCACATGGAAAGGGAGCAGTGTCACACCCTGCCAGATGCTCTGCACTTGGAGTTCAGGCCTGGCTCTGTGGAAACTTGCTGAGACTTTTGCTTCTTTCTGGCCTTCAGATTTTATCATCCCCCCACCCCATACCAGCCTTTTGGTATAGAGCTTTTTTCCAGATTTCCTTCTCTGACTCTGGGTCTCAGTTCCCAACTGTAAAGTGTATGGGTTAAACAGGAAGGTCAGGTCCATACATCTCCTAAACTGATGTGGAAGGGGCAGGATCTGCCATTTTTAAATGATAACTGATGGTCTGAAACTTCACTACGAAGCTTCCTAGGGGTTCCTGGCCTGGGTCCCTGGAGGCATCGGCATGGTGACTCATTCTGACCTAACATTAGGTCTGTCCTTCATCTCTACCTAGGTGGGTTTGAATCCATCCAGAATCTTCCCAATGATTTGAGCGGTGAGTAGAAATTATGCTGAACCTGGCCTCTCCTCCTTCAGGTCAGCTCGCTTGTCCTCTTGCCTAAGTTGCAGATGCTCAAGGTTGCTCAACTCTGCCTATCCTTATAGCATCCCAGGCTGAAGGCTTCCACGAGGCCAGGTCTGGTGGAGCCTGGGAGGAGCGACAGTTCGTGGGCTCCAGATACTCCAGCAGCTCCGGGGATTCCCACCTGGAGGAGGAGGAGCTCCTCTCAGCCGCCTCCGACAGCTATCTCCTCCCAGAACCTGATGACCTTGACGATCCCGAACTTTTCATGGACCTCAACACTGATCAGGATGAGGAGGAGGCTGATAACTTTGGCTCCATATTGGCTTTTTTGGATCATGAGGGTTACACCGACAACTTTAAGAGCCTGTACGATTTCTCCTTCTCTTTTCTTACTTCTTCGTTTTACAACTTCTCTGAAGAGGATGAGCTTGTGGCCTATCTGGAGGCCTCCAGGAAGTGGGCCAAGAAGAGCCATATGACCTGGGCGCATGCCCGGCTCTGCTTCCTCTTGGGCCGGCTGAGTGTCAGGAAAGTCAAGCTCTCCCAGGCCAGGGTGTACTTTGAGGAGGCCATCCACATTCTCGATGGGGCCTTTGGGGACCTATCCTTGGTGGCCTCTCTGTACATCCACTTGGCTGCCATCTATCTGAGACAGAGGCTGGTGCATAAAGGCCCAGGCCTGCTGGAAAAGGCAGGGGCTCTGCTGGCCTGCCTGCCGGACCGTGAGTCCAGTGCCAAGAGCGAGCTTGATGTGGTGGCCTATGTGCTGCGCCAGGGGATTGTGGAGGGCAGCAGCCCCCTGGAGGCCAGGGCCTGCTTTCTGGCCATTCAATTGCTCCTGAAGCTAGGCCGGCACGAGGAAGTCCTGCCCTTTGCTGAGCGCCTGCAGCTCTTGTCTGGACATCCTCCTCCTTCAGATGCTATGGCCACCATCTTGAGTTTTCTCTATGACAAGAAATATCTTCCACATCTTGCAGTGGCCTCTGTCCAGCAACGTGGTACTCAGAGTGCTCAGGGCACATCTCTTCCGGTTTGGCAGGTCTACTTGGTCCTCCAGAATACCCCCAAGCTCCTTGGCATTTGTTCCTCAAGCTGGGGTGAAGTTTCTGCCCTGGCCTGCCCAATACTCAGGCAGTCGCTGGCTGCCTGTGAGGAACAAGCTGACTGGAGCACCCAGAGGGCTCTGTGTCTCATCCTGTCCAAAACATACCTCCAACACAGGTCTCCTGATGGTGCCATCCACTACCTAAGCCAGTCCTTGATGCTGGGGAAGCTGCTGGGTGAGCCAGAAGTCTTTGAGTCTTCCCTCTGTCTGGCATGGGCCTATCTCTTAGCCAGACAGGCGAAGAAGGCTCTGGAAATTCTTGAGCCACTGTTATGCTCCCTGAAGGAGACAGAAAGTGTTGCCCAAAGTGGAGTGGTTCATAACCTCCTGGGGCTTGCACTCCTAGATGAAGGCTGTGTGAGCAGAGCTGCCGTGAACTATCTCCAGGCCTTGAACAGAGCTTGGGAGATGGGGGATGTACGTAACCAGGCAGTAATTATGGCCAATCTTGGTTACCTGACCTTCAAGTCCTGGGCTCCACAGCCAGCCAGGGACTTTCTCCTTCAGGCAGTCCAACTCTATTCTGAACTCCAGACCTGCAAGGAGACCGACATGGAATTAGTACAGGTGCTTCTCTGGCTGGCTCAAGTTCTGGTGTCTGAACACCAGCTGACCCACGGTCGCCTATGTTATGAAATGGCGTTGCTGTTTGGCTTAAGGCATCAACATCTAAAGAGTGAGTATGTCCCGTGCTGCTGGGGAGCATTAGGGAAAATTGTTGGAACATACTTTGCTTGTGTCCTCTCTCTAGACATCTCATTCATGTCCTGCTTTATGTTCAGGTCAGCTTCAGGTCACCAAATGCCTCTGCCATTTCTACAGCTCTGTGTCCCCAAATCCTGAGGCATGCATCATGTACCACGAGCGCTGGCTGGCCCTGGCTCAGCAATTCAGGGACAGAGAGATGGAGGGGAGGCTGCTGGAGTCCCTTGGGCAGCTCTATCGAAACCTAAACACTTCCAGGTGAGTAATGCTTAGGGACAGTCTTCGAAGTAGCTTTCTTTCCCTAAGGAGAAACAGTAATCTCTCCCTCAGGAAGAAAGTTCCGATGCACGTGGCAGATGCACTGGAAAAATAATTCTGCATTCTTCTGCAGCCTCCATGTAGTGCCATCCATCATTTGAGCTGTGTGACACTGGGCAAGTTATATATTTTCTCTGTGCCTTGTTTGCTCATCAGTCAAAGGAGGATCTTAATGGTTTCTATCCTGAAGTGTTATTGTGAGGAATGAATGAGTTAAAGCTCAAGGCATACTTGGAACAGGGATGATGTATAGAAAGGCTTGGGAGTGTTGACTACATCACTATTACTTGTATATTTCCATAACAACCCATCACATGACTGTGGATGAGGGTGTGTAACTCAGAGAGGCGGCATTATGCTGAGGTCCATGGAGCCTTTAAGAGGTCTCCATTGTCTTCATTAAGGGACACAAAGTAAATAAATCCACTGATGACAGAGGTATAAAATTTTATGGTGAAAACTTTGCTTGGGACCTTACCTTTAAAACGAAAGTGGAAATTATGAAACAAAGTTTATTTTCATCTATACACTAAGTCTTAGCTTAATGATACAATAAGAGTTGACTGCTCAGATTATTTGTGTGAATAAAATTGTATAATGTAGGAGACATGTTTGGTTTTGTGATTCTCCTTTTGATGCAATCTTAAGCTTCATTTTTTTCAAAAACATGCCCTAACTTAACTGTATAACCCCAAAGCATCTTTTAACTCATTGATATTCAAACTAGTCTCACTTGAAGTGTCTTGTTATCTGCGGCAGAGGTTCTCTGTCTCTTCACTGGTCTAAGGCTACTTGGTCCTCCTTAGCCATTAGGCAGCCTGCAGTTCTGTCTTCTGACAAGCCTTTTTAAGATTCCATGAAGTCCGGTAGGCTTTGCAAGATTTTCCATTTCACTTTGCAACTTATTTGCATTGTAACGCTGTGTTCATGATTACAAAAAAGTTCTAAAATCGGGGGGAGGGGTACTTGTAGTATTGAGCACAGAGAAGCAGTTGGAGAGAGGCTAATTAAATGACAGCTTTTGTTTTTAGGCAACATGGTAACCTCAGGTGCCTGGACTATCAGACAATGAATAATGACATAATGAACTCTCTCTTCATCTAGAGCTATGCCTATGTCTGTATCTCCCCCTCCCTTTCCCTCTCTGTTACCCTTTTTGTCTCTTAAAGAAATCAGGTGTCCTCCAAACTTTCCACTGTCTTTGCCTTCAATTCCAGGGACGAGTTTTGGATCTGTGCAGCATGGGGCAGGGGTGAGGGGGACAGGAGAGAGGCCTGGCAGCAGCCTACCCTTTTTCCATTGTAGGACACCCTAGGAGTTTGGATGCTTCTGGAGCAGATCCAAAAGGCAGGTTTCAATGAACCTTTGAGATGAAACAATCACATGCTCACAGTGAGGCACTGTAGAACCAGGCTTTGGAAAGTCGAATGTGAGGGACTGGAGTGAGGGTGCCATGTATGTTTCAGACTTATTGCCGCCTCTTGCTGTGGTACAAGATCAGTCATAGATTAATCTTGCTCCTGGCCTTGCCAGCCATCCTTTGCTCTTCAGTCCCCCACCCCAACCACAGTTGTCAAAACCATAGATGTCCTAATAGGGAAGCCAGAGTGAAAGCCTTGGATGCAGAAGCCTTATCTAGGTGTTCAGGATCACCATCCTTCTTAGATGGTGTGGTTAAAAAGGAATGCAAGGGAAAGAGGGGCTGCAGCTGGTTCTGGAAGAGACTGAAGAAAGTAGAAGCTACGGGGCTGGGAAAGGGGCAATCACACTGAATGGGTAATTTGGGAACTAGGTTCTGCTGTGACCTGATAACATGTCCTTAAACAGTCACTTTTCTTGGTTGTTGCATTTACAAAGTTAAGTTGAATCATGAACCTTCTAATTCTAAAACGTTGACTCTGGGACCAGCTACCTATGCTATTTTGTCACTGACTCTTGATACCAGAATTCTTGCAGCCTCTTAAGAGTTTTGACTTTGCGCAGGGACAGGGCAGATTCTTAAAGCTGTGGGCATTTCAAAGGGATTTTGAGATCAGAGACCTAAACTTTAGAGATCTGAAAGACTTTAAAGCATGTTCACAAGTTCTTGCAGGCAGACATTGTGTCTAGCATGGAGCTAGATGTACCATAAGAGCTACTGTGGGGGCAGTCGAGTGGTAAATCAATTACTTAGTCCTCTAACTTGTGACCCTTAAGCTGCAGCTGCATGCTGACTTGGCCACAGTGATTAAGATGGAAATGGGGAGTTGTGCTTGAGAGAGTCCCTGGCTCTTTAGTTCAGAGCTAGATAAGGAAAAAAGGTAGCTTACAGGTAGGCTCTATGGTCTTTAGTGACAAGGACGGTGTTCAGATTTGCTATCAGTGGAAGCTCAGATGCCCATTCCAACAGCCCTTGGCATTCGCTGACCAATATAGTATTAGCCACAGAACACTTTTCTTCAGAAGTATTCACTGATAAAGATCCAAGTAATGCATAATATATTACGACATAGAGATTTGCACCCAAATGTGGGATGAAGATTATTCCTAAAATTGAATAGTTGCTTATGGTGAGCAAACAAACATTAAACTGGCACTGAAGATTGTAAGTTAAAAAATAAAGATCCCCTTTCAGCAGTCCCCAGACTCCTCAGAAGCAACTATGTAAAGATTTTAAATAGCTGTAAAGAAATGTTTTATACATATGAGAGATTATGTATGATGTATATTCTCTATATTAAATATTAGATGTTTTAAATATAATTGCACCAGTCTAGTCACAAATGGGATCATGATAATAGTTATGTTGTATATATACTGTTCTATTACTTGCTTTTTCATTTAAAAATATCACCATGAAATGTTCCAGCATCTTATCTTTCCGATGTGTCAGGCACCATGGTTGGTGCTGGGGAATTTAATGGTTAGGAAAAAGAGTCTAAAATAACTGTTCCCAAATGGAGCAGCCTACTCTGAGTGGGAGTGACATCTCACCATCACAAGTGTTCAAGCAGAGGATGACTATTCAGGAACTTATAGAAGAGTTTCCTGATTGAGTTGGACCTTTATTGAGGTATTATAATCATATGACCAAAAAATCTATCCTTTATAATGCAGCATACAATTTAATTTTTAGTACATTCACCAAGCTGTGTAACCATCACCACCAACTAACTGTAGACTATCTTCATGACCTCCCTCCAAATCTTGAATCCATTAGTGGTCACTCCCCATTACCCATCCTCACCCCATCCCTGGAAACCACTCATCTACTATCCATCTCTATGGATTTTTCCTATGCTGGATATTTTATATAAATGGAGTCATATAATATATGGCCTTTTGAGACTGGCTTCTTTCACTTAGTATGATGCTTTCAAGGATCATTTAGTTTGTTACATGTATCAGTATTTTATTATTATTTTTTTATTGTTGAACAATATATACCACATGTGTTTATTATGTGATATACCACATTTATTTATTCATTCCAAAGTTGATGGACATTTGGCTTGTTTCCATTTTGTGGCTATTATGAAAAATTCCTACATGAACATTCATGAATATTCATGTAGGAATTTTTGTGTGAAGATATGTTTCTAATTCTCCTAGGTGTATACCTAGAAGTGGAATTACAGTCATGGGGTAACTCTGTTGGAGTGTTTGGGGGAACTGTTCTACTTTTTTTCAAAGTGCTGTACCATTCTATCCCCAAAGTGATGGATGAAGGCCCACCCCATCTCCACCCACCCTTGCTCTTCCCCTATCTTCTTCACTTTCTGTCCTAGTGGGGATGAAATGAAGCTCGTTATATTTTTTCCCCATTATGGTTTTAGTTTGCACTTCCCTACTAGCTAAAACACTGAACATCATTTCATGTGCTTACTTTCTATTCATGTATTATCTTTGGAGAAATGTCTATTCCAGTCATTTGTCCATTTAAAAATTGGGTCTTTTGCCCTTTTATTGTGAAGTTGTAAGAGTTTTTTTTTAATTGTCAATGGACCTTTATTTTATTAATTAATTTATTTATATGTGCTGCTGAGAATCGAACCCATTGCCTCACACATGCTAGGCAAGCGCTCTACCACTGAGCCACAATCCCAGCCCTTGTAAGAGTTTTTTTTTTCTTAAAAAAACTTATTTTGGATACAAGTCTCTTATGAGAAAGCATTTTATTCCAACTCATGGGTTGTGTTTTCACTTTTTTGATTGCTCATAGGATGAATTGGGAAATGGTCCTTCCTCTTTCTATATATTTTTTTTGCTAAGAGTTTGTGAAGGGTTGGTGTTAATTCTTTTTTACATTTTTTGGTAGAATTCTGTCATTTTTTCTGCATGTAATTTAGGGCTCCATCATTAGGTGCTTACATATCTATAATTGCATATCCTTATGGATCAACTATCTTATCACTGTCAAATGTCCCTCATTGTCTTTAGTGGCAATTCTGTTCCTTTTGTCCAATTTTGAACAGGCACTTCAGGTCCTTTTGTACTTTTTGCATAATTTATATATTTTTACTTTCTAATCTATTTATTTGTCTTTGAATCTAAAGTATGTTTCTTATAGATATTATATAATTGGATAATTTAAAAAATTGATTCTTTTAATGGGAGAATTTAATCTACTTATATTTAATTAGCTACTGTTAAGACAGTATTTACATAACCATTTTATTATTTCTTTCTCTCTTTTTTCTTTGTGGTGCTGAGGATGGATCCCAGGGCCAGGCACATGGTAGGCAAGTGCTCTCTACCACTGAGCTACCCCCAGCCCTTGCTAGTTGTTTCTTATATGTCTCATGCATTTTTAGTTTTTTGATTCCCCCATTCCTTCCTTCTTTAGTATTAAGTATTTCCACCATATCAACTTTCTTGTCAATTCTTTCTTTCAGTTATTTTCTTAGTGTATTCCCTGGGGATTATAATGAGTATCTTAATTTATAGCAATCTCAGTTGTT